AGGGCTTCAAATTTAGACCTATACTCAGTTCAGTTCTTTATTCCGTGGGACGTACATCCCATAAGCATCATGAGTACAACATTGTATTTATCAATTACATACATAGTACAATAATACAATTTACTGATTAATGATCTCTCCTAGACATTACTTGACACGTGAATGCCACAGAGACAAGTCATTCTATCTTCATTTTAAAATAACATTGATTGATTTATTTTATATTGTTTAACGCCCCTCTCGAGAATTTTTCACTCATATGGAGACGTCACCGTATGCTGATGAAGGGCTTCAAATTTAGACCTATACTCAGTTCAGTTCTTTATTCCGTGGGACGTACATCCCATAAGCATCATAAGTACAACATTGTATTTATCAATTACATACATAGTACAATAACATGTTATAAACTTACCAACTAGTAATACATACATTTTAACCCAGGGATCTTTATTCTCTACCATATCTTGATAACATGCACTCAAAATACAGTTATTACTTTTTCTTAATTTTAACCAATATTTTAATATTCTGCGCTTTCTTTATATATCTAGTGGTATTCTACCTAACACATAATAAACAGCACTATTACACGTATTTTTTCTTACACCAAGTATTCTTTTACAAAAATTAATATGTACTCTTTCAACATCTGGACCATTATGAAAACCCCAAATTTCAGCTCCATAGCATAATACATTTTTAACATAACTATCAAAAACATTGATCTGAGTCTCAACATTGAAACTAAAATCTTTCATCTTACTATAAATACTAAACAATGCTTTGTTACCTTGTGTTGCACAGTGCTTCTGTGTAGATAAGAATTTACCATTATAGTTAAACAATAATCCTAAATAATTGAATTGATTTACAACTTCCACATTTTTACCATTATATGTCCATTTTTCTTCCTCTCTTACATACTTTCCATTTCTAAAAACTACAATTTTCGTTTTTTTGTACATTTACAGTTAAATTCCATTTATTTTGTATAGCTATGCAGAGTGTTTAACATTTCTTGTAAACTTTCAACTGATTCCGCTATTAATGTCAAAGAAAATTGATTAAAAGGGGGAAAATGGGGAATGAGGGAGATGATAGCGGATGTGCTACTGTATGTGGGGCACACCTGTCTTTTTTTCCGGAGGACATAGAGTAGGGTGGGAGTCTGCGTCAAGGGGTCATGAACCCTGTGTCTCCTCTGGCCGGACAATCAGAGGAAAATGACAGATGCTACTAAATATCAAACACACAACTGTTGATTGTGACGTCTTTGTATAAGGGCCACGTGGCTTTTAGTTTAGAGACAAATAGAAAAATTGACACGGTCATTAGCCTTAAGTTTTATACTCCATTTCTTCTATGATACAAGAGTGGACACTCGGTACTGAATGGCTATTTTAAAAATGCATCGATTAACCTTATCTTTTTCATCTCTAAAGCCTGGTAACATTGTGTAATATGGCTCGACTTTGTATGAGTAAATGTGCGTGGTGTTGAAGGTGTTTTGTTTACAAACACTCCCATGTATTAAATCTAGGTTACATAAGTTTCTTTCTTGTTAGGAATGTTTTCTGAAGTGTTGTAGTGCACGACATTAGGAATGTACACACTACTATGTATGTCATTGAACTATTTCATTATCTGACCTGAATTTTCCCTCCCGGATGTGGTTTAATAGGGGGCATTGTAGAGAGAAAGAATATGTGTGGTAATTCCGTAGAACTGTCGATCACTTGGATGTCATCTTTGTTTACGTTGATTTAAAATTTTCATTGATAAGAACGCAAAAAGTCTGTAAACAAGTATTGTCATTTCCCATGTGACTCTGAGCATCCAAGGTAGTGTTTGAGTTTATGAAGAGTGACCTGACCCAATTGCACCACGCTGAATCTTAGTAACGGACGCACTAAAGGCTTCCGCTGCGATTTTTTGTGTGGCAGCTAAAGTATATTGACCCTTGGCGGAGCGTTGAGGTCACAGGGAGAAAATATCTTGAGGTTAAAACGCTAGATATCTTCGATCGGACAGACCTCCACATTGTCGAGTTCATGAGGATAAGCAATGAAAATCATATTCGTAGGCTGTTAACATAATTGATTATAGATTTATGTATCGCATCTATAGTGGCATCACATGTTCAGTACCGACCCACTAAACTAGTGGTCAGGCAGTACGTGCGTTGCCATCGACCTTGATCCAAAAAAGATGGGATTTTACCATGAGCAAAATTCAGGAAAGGGACGTTATTCAGATTAAATCTAACGGATTCATCATTGTGGAATATTTTAGTAGAGATAATTCTGACGAATGGCATAAAAGTGAGGCATATGTCTTAAAGCAAAATTATATACGGATGAACATGTGCTTTGTGTCTTACTAATGCTATAGGATTCTCTTGGAATCAGAATTCGGACCAGATTTCCATCTAATGACGAAGAAGAATGGGAAGGAATGGAGGTTATTTTTAATTTATTACATTACGCGTTTAAGAGTGAAAATAGTAATTAATGTCCATTTTTACTACTGTGTGGTGAAATAGTTGCTTAAAACTAACATTCCGTTACGTTGAATCGGATAAAATATAACCACAAACTTATCCTTTTCATTAGAGCTCACATTATTTTCATAATAATATGAGACTATACTTTTCCTAACTCCGATTTTCGAGAGTTACATGCGTGAACACACGGGTATGGAAATGAGAGGAATGAAAACAAAAAAGATGACTGGTGTAAAAGACAATGGCTCTTGTCAAATGCGATTAGGGCTTTTAGGGTATTTCCTAAGCAACCAATTTCATTTTTCTGTGTCCAGGGTCTGTTAACATGTATTCATCAGGAAAGGGCCAAATACAAGGTACTTATTTGGGATTTACATGTAGTATTTTGACCTTTTCCTCTTGTAGTTATCTTTTAGAGCACTGAATGACCTTTAAACCTTTGTGCAAAACTCAGAAAAAAAATGATGTCATAGTTTCAGATTCATGGGAGTGGCTGATATTATAGGAAACACCCCTCCCTTGTTTTCTCTATCTTAATGAAGTTTTCATCAATATCTAATCCTCTTTTTTCATTTGTAAAGAATGGTATCTTCACAAATGGGTGAGTTTAAATTATCCATTAATTATTTAGTTTTTGAGAAAAGTGACTAATCTTAAATGTATGGAATTATTTTTATTTTAGTGAAAACATAAAACATAATAATTAAATATTAGAAACATCAAATGTATTTATCTGTAGAGATACATAAAAAGTAATCAAACTTGAATAAATAAAGATTTCCATTATGTTTCATCCATCATCCCTAAGCCTGCAAAAAAGAATAAAAAGTTACACTGTTGTGCTTAAAGAGGGAAAAATATATGTATATTAAAAAATAAAGATATTTTTAAATTCAGACTGAGTAAAAAAAAAATACCACTGTTTGCCCGAGGCATATGACTGGACACAATAATTATTTCTGGGCATTAGGTTCATAAACCCCAGGTGGAGAGCATATTTACTAGGGCAAGTAGAGAGACAAAATGGTGGAAAATCTCAAGATGCTTTTTAAGGATATTATTATTTTGAAGGCGTATGACTGATATATTTTAAAATTTCAGAATATAATTTTCAATGTTATGTGTAATTCAGACTACAGTTTATGTGTAACAAAAAAAACAACAAAAAAAAACAACACACAGTTTGTCAGATCTGTTGAAAATACATTTTTCAGGAAATATTATATCTGTAGTTATTGTTTTGTTTATATCAGGAATATTTCAACAGATGTCCTATTTTAACCCTTCTGTCATTTGTTTTCATTTATTTTTATAACTTAAAGGATACACCCATGATTGTTGTGAAATCAAATAATTTCATTTTTTTCAAATATAGAATTATGATTATCTTTATCATGTTTCTTATTTTATTTTCCTACACTTAAAATATTGATGTGTTAATTATGTGTTAATTGATTTAACTTTTTATAACTATAATTTTCAAATTATATAATGTTATGGTGGAATACAAGACTGGACCGTTTTAGATTAAGAATATTATTCAATAATTTAATTTTGTTTGTATTATAACCTCTGATCGATTTTTATCAAAAAAGGAATATTTCTTATTTCTGTATAACCTGGTTTTACATCCCCTTGATATCCAGCTGAATCATCTTTACCCATGTAATCCTGTCATTCTCAGTCCCCGGGGATTTATGGAAACTTCGAGATATAATAAATGTACCTTTAACTCCAAACAGTAGCTGATCTTACCGCATGTTAACAAACAACATGGCTGCTAGGCCTATATATCAGTTTTTATCTCCCCTCGCTTCCATTTTTTTCCTTTACCACGGTTGTATTATTGTGCAGCAAATTTGAACTAATAAAGGCAACGAAATTTTACACCCACGGTTGTTCAATGATTTTAGAATTAAATTATAACGAATGATTCTTATTCGTGTCCAAATAATTCAAGTATAACCTTGTTGTTTTTGCGAATTATAAAGCGTACTCTGACTAAAACTAGGTCATACTGGAATAATTTGGCCAAGAATTAGAGTCATTCCTGAATAAAAACCGTGCCAATACCTTTGTTGGCGTATTGGACTGTGAGCAAAATAGGGTTGTTTTACTTACATTCCGTGTGTTTATAATTTACATGTGTAGTCTCCAAGGAGCACACAATGAAACATACGAAGAAATCTTGTCATGTTAATTTCTGTATTTTATTCTCTTTTTATCAAGTAATTGTTAAACAATATTTCGGGACTGAACACATTTAACATTTCACCTGATCACACCTCTAATATTTTAGAGGTCCTTTCTTGTTATGGTACTGATTTGTATTGCTTGAATGGAATTGAATACTATTTGTTATCTCCCTATAGCCCATGTTTCGCCCACTTATTTTCTTCTTTTCTTTTCCCTTCTTTTCTCAACAAATTCATATAAATGCCCTCAAAGGAGACTGCTGTCCGATTTTTTTCGTTACATATTTATACGTTAAATCTAAACAAGTCCAATTTTATTTTTACAATCTTGTTTTACAACTTTATTTTTCACACCAGCATTGTGCCTTAATCATCTTGAGGCATCTTCAGCCATTTCATCCATCTATAGGAAGAAAAAAATGGTAAAAGTGAATAAATAATAAATGAATGATTAAAATTCGACATTCAATTCTACTTTAAATTCAATTATAGATTTATCTCTTCCTTAATTACCCGCTTAAAATCCTGCACAATATCTGATTCTTCGCGCTCATCAATTTTCTGAAATATGAAAAATAACATACACAAATCATGTTTACTTTTGATGATTTAAACGAATGTTATGATTTTCAAGTTGTGATTGTTGTTAATAACTGGTGGGTACATTTATTTTCAATCAGCATGTCTAATACATATTCATCACGGAACTGATTAAAACGATGTTCTAGCTTGATTAAGGAACGCGTACGTGTATTTTGGTGGAGTTCTTTTCTTCTGAATTTTTATGTATTATTATAAATGCTGAGATGGTTACTTACCAAAGATCTACCACAAGTGCATGGTCTCCACCAACCACCACAAGTACAACCTTTCGATTTCTCTGCATCGTCGCATTCTCCTTCTTGGAACAAACAGTGGATAAGAAATAGCATAGCCATGAACATAACAAGCCTCATCTACATTTCACAAAGAGAATATTGTTCAATCCTTGGATGGGTTTTAAGTCATACATTGGAAATAATATTTAGAAGAATTCATAGATTCTGCTGGGAGTTTGAAAAATAAATGCTTTTGATTGAAGTATGAGTTTTTTGGAAAACATAAGGAGATGAAACATGTAGAGTCATTCCGAATATTACTTACAACATTTCTACATGTATAACACTTGCTGTTTACATACATGTATTTGTGTTTGGTTTATGATGTTTGTGCCATATAGAATATTATCTATGAAGCATGTGGCGCAAAAGTAAAATTGTAAAAAATGTTAAATTGTGTCAAGAATACCATTTTCTCACAATAATATAAACACATTAATACAGAATTTTTTTTTCTTCGTGAGAAGGACCAAACATATATCGTGACATGCATATGACTGCAATGATGGTATTTAACAAAAAACAAAAAAAATACCCTATGATGTGTTTAGAAGAACATTTACATGTAAGACCTTTTTCTTAATTCAATATAGCTTAATATTTTATGACTTTTTAAATTCTTTATATCAAGTAGTTTGGATGCATTGTGAAGAATTTAACGCATACCTTGGTTTAAAAAAATATCGAACGATATGTTAATTAAGAAAAAAAGTTTTAAAAGTCTTACGTACCTTTTGAATTTTGCAAAACTTCAAATATCAGTAACATGCCTGATCTCCTTATATTCTTTTACGCTGTGGGAGACATCTGGCAAATTGAACCAAAAAATACGTAACATCCTTGTGTTTAAATTGCAATGTAATGATAAAAATAAAGTGTTAGTCATATAAAAGTGTAAATTAATACTTATTATACTTATTATATGATGACTAAAAACCGGATTTTAGCCCTATTGCTATGTGGCGGCAATATAGCCCAATGATGTCACTGCCAGTTAAATTTTGGTACAGCTCCAATGCTAAAACATCATTGTAGGTAACATCCTTAAGGATCGTCATGTACTTGTATGTGTAGACGTAATGCCTAGTTTAAAATAATTAAAATGTAGGATACACTGTTGAAGTGCTTCAGATAGTGGTGCATGTAGTATATGTCAAACCACACAAACAAGAGACTCTTGGGTAAATTTTGGCTGCTAGGATAATATATAATACATGTATATTTAGGGATAACCTTCACTCTAAAGTAACATTCCAAAGTTATTCAAAGAAAAGAATAACTTCCAAGGGAGGGAAGGGGTCTTACTATGGGGTAAATTCCACCACTTTTATGTAAATTATCACATTCAGTTAACCAATATGTATATGAAATATGTTGTAAGATGATTGCTCAATTAAGTTTTTCAACTGTCCAGAATATTTCATAAAATTATTAAGACTAAACTAACTCTCTACATATATATCATAACGAAAAAGTTTTTGTTTGTCTAGCATTACTTTATTCTTTTTTAAAATAAGTTATTGCTGAAATAAGATATATATTACGGTATTAGCCATTAATTCCCGTTTGACAAAAAGCAAAAACAAAGAGAAACTGCTACAAATTACGAATAGGTATGGCAAAATTTTCTGCAAGATTTAAAGAAGGACGTTACCGTTGAATTTTAAAAGCTTTTTTTAATAATCTGTTTTCTCTTATATATGTATTATTTTGAATTTCTCTAGAATGTAAGTAATGTACAAAAAATTCGAATATTTGCATATACAGTTCATTTTTTATACACTCACCAATGATTATTTTTTGAGCTGAAAAAAAATCTAGTCAATTATTTCTTAATATTTCTTTTATTATAGATTTATTATAATTATGTCCTTAATACTTTTGAAACAATCATATCACTAGATTTTTGACTTATTTGAAAGATATCGCCTCACTTTTATTGCCACTTATAATGTTTCGATTCTCCATGTTTACGGGTCCATTACTGAGTTTATACTCATAGATAATAAATATATCAGATAGCACTTTTTTTTAAATCATACTGCTCCATTATCTGAGATTGAAATATATGGGGTTATCATAAAATCTTTTTCATGTAAAATATCAAAACATGAAAAAAAGATGTCTCTTACATCTCCAGCTCACCGGGATATATCGTATCGACATATACAAGCATACAAACATAATTGTACATTGTATTTGGGCAGGACAATCTACGCACTTTTCAAGGCAGCTTAAACGACAAAAACCCAATTTAAAAAAATGTCAATAAATATTGTTAAAGAACTACGCATGTAAAATTTCGCTTCCCGCCTACATTTTAAAACCATTTATTTCAATATTGATGACAATTTAGCCATAAAATCTTAGTTCATTACAAATGATAATTGATGAATTGTTTAATAAATAAATAAATAGTGCATAAAGAAAATCATCCCTAATTTTTATGCAATTGTTTTGTAAAACAAGTTTGGATTGGCTAAGGTACTGATGTTAGAAGCAGTAAAACGAGATTAACGAGAGTGAAAGCTTTTCATTGTGACATCAAAATAGAGCG